TCATGTTTTTGAGCTGCAATTGTAAGAAAAACTGCTCAAAAACACCAGACATTCTGATTATTTTTCTGATGTTTTGTCATTATTTTTTCAGTAGGGAAAAAACAAATACAAAAATAATGAAGTGAATGTGTGAATAAAAAAGAAGATGGTTCTTTTCTGTGTAGCTACATATACCAAAAATATAATATATATATATATATATATATATATATATATATATATATATATATATATATATATATATATATATATATATATATATATATATATATATATATATATATATAAAGAGACTTCTTTCCCTAAAATTTTTTTTTTAAATTCAAAAATTGTTGAAGATACGACATTTTCAATTTTAATATTAATTTTATAAAATTTTGAATATCTCGGAATATTGTTTGTGAATTCTTATAAAATTTACACATTTTTCAGGTAAAAATTTGTAATTTAAAATAAAAATAAAGTTAATAAAAAAAATTAATTTGTCATGTCAAAAAACGAGATATTGTGGTTGACATTTTTTATTTTTAACATAATCGCATGTAAAAGTAAAAGTTTGAACTTGTATATCTCAAAATTTAGCATCGCAAAAGGGTTTTGAAATTTTTACCACATTTAAAGGGCACCCGAAGAGATATTTTCTTAAAATTTAAAGAAATTCTATGAAAAAAACAATTTTTTCAAGAGTAGCAGCCGGAGAATTCGAATTTTTTTTAGCATCGACAAAGATTTTCTATGGTAAAAAGCACCGAAAATTTTTGTAGAGCCTTAAAAATTTCCAAATTTGATGAAGAAATTGTCGTTTATCATCAATTTTTAAAAAATTTAGGAACCGTTTGTACCACAGGCCGACAGTATTTACTAAACAAGAATCAAACAATATTTTTTCGAAGATTTTAAACGTGATAATTCCGAATCCAGCGTCACAATAGACCCTGCACGTCAGGTTTTCGAGGTATTTCAACTTAAAAGTGCAAAAGACCAGTTTTTTAACATCCAAAGATAATTGTTTTGACAAAAGTTCAATATTGCATCTGAAGACGCTACTTTTCTTCTTTAAAATACATGTTAAAAATTTAAAATATTTGCATTTTCCTCTGAGTAATCGTTCATTCTGTTTACTGAGTTTGGAAAATTCTTTGAAAACTGAGTAAAAACAGACAAAACTTCGATAATAAAGAAGAATATTACTACAAACCAGAATATAAATTTCAAATACTTCTACGTATTTTCGGTACAACTAAATGCGAATACGATGTCAGATTTACCAAATCGTCTGCCATATACGATCCGCTATTTTGAATTTTAGAAATCTGACATAGAATTCGTATCCAGTTATACCTAAAATCTGCATAACCATTTGAAATTTAGATGCATGTAGTTAGGGGAGAGTGGGGCAAAATGGGGTACCTTTTTGAAATTGTCTGTTTACAGAGAACCAAACGAATAAATCGATTCAGCTAAACTTTAGAATTCTTCTTTGTACACTTAGCTTTGAGGAAATTATGATAATAGCGGAGAAAAAAATTTTTGAAAGAACTTATATCGTATTTTCAGAGAAAGTGCTAACATCCCATTTTGCCCCACCCGTGGGGCAAAATGGGGTGGCATCAAATAACTATACAAAACATTGAGTATTTTTTCAAAATTCATTAAATTCTTGTTGTATGAGATTATAAATACAAACAAAAAGTAGGATTCTTTATTATTATGAAAAAACAAGTAATATTTATTAGAATTTAACAAAAAACATGGATATTGCAAAATATCGATATACTGATAATGAAACATCGATAGTATAAATTGCTCGAAGCAAAAATATCGATTCTTCTGCAGGAAACCTTTAAATATGCATAATATAATGTGTTTAAATAGTTTTAATGAAACGGCGTAACTTCCGGCATGCCCCACACTTAGGTACCCCATTCTGCCCCACACTGCATATAAAACAAAATGCAATGTTTACAAGTTATTGTAAACAATTAAACAATCTATTCTATTGGAAATTACTCTAGAATAAGTACTGAAAAAGATACCACACTTGCCAAATTAAATGCATTATCCCAAAAAGTTTGGTGAGCACTTTAATTTTGAAAAAAATTCATATTTTTTTTGCTTAAAACTTAAAAGTTGTATAACTTTCAAAAAAAAATTTTCTTTGGAGTGTCTTCATAATTCATAACAGTTTCTTATCAACATGAATGATATATGTCGAGGGAAAAAAAATTAAATGTTTTTCATGGAAAAACAGAGGTACCCCATTTGACCCGCCTACCCCATTTTGCCCCACTCTCCCCTAAATCTTCTATATTATCGAAGTTTGTCTATTTCTACTCAATTTTTGTACAATTTGCCCAACTCACTAACAAATGAAGATTTTTTAAATATCAGAAATGAAAAAAATCGAAAAACTAAGTTTATTCAAAATTTCATGTACCGATTTTTTCTTTTTTGTGTTAAAATTATTGTATGGCTTTACCGAAACAATAATAAAAAAAATTGGATGGGCAAGAACTTTTGGCTTTTTATTCGAAGCTGACCTTGTTGCTGCAGCTAGTCGTTTTTTACAAAAACTAATATCTCCAGAACCAGATAAGTCTTTATCAATTTTGTTTTATTAAATTAAATGTGAATTCATAAGGATTCCAAATATGTTTATAACATTTTTCTCAGAGAGGAGTAAATAATAAAAAATTTTTAAAAAAATTTTTTTATTTACATTATTTTTATTTTAAAGAACACATTTATACCTGAAAAATGTGTAAACTTCATAAAAATCCATAAACAAGAGTCCGAGATATTCAAAACTTTATGAAATTAATATTAAAATTCAAAATGTCAATAAAATCTCTTTTTCTATAATATTATTAAGTTTTTGGGTCTATTAATTATTTATAGATCAATTAAAGTATTTTTGTATTTGTTTCTTTAGGTAAAAAGGAAACTTTTTCTGCCCGGCGCTCAATGATATCACCAGATTAAAAAATATCTTAATTTCAATATATCTCAAAATCTGTTTTTTTATTTTTTTCTAACCTATTCAAATGGAAAGCTTACCGTTTTTCCTATGAGCCATGTAAAAAATCAGAGTAAGACCTTAAACATTTTTGAAGAAAATAATTATAAATCATAATTTTCTATATAAAATAATAAATTATTATTTTTTGCAAAAATTTTCAAGGTCTCACTCTAATTTTTACATGGCTCATAGGAAAAAAGGTAAGATTTCTATCGGGATAGGTTAGAAAAAAATAAAGAAAAACGATTTTCAAACTTTTTTTCATCGCCAGCTTGTAGCTCGTGAAAAACCTTTCAAAAATCACTATTCACACTTTTAATTTGATTAATTTTTCTTATCAATACATCAAATCGAAAAAAAGATATTTGGTGGATTCCACGTCAGTTTAACACACTAATTTTCATGACTTGTTGGGAGTTGGCTGTACTTTTGTAAATTTATTACTTTTATAGTGATAAACAACTCCACCAAATATTTTTTCAAAATTTTGAAAATTACCAAAAATATGGCATTTTCAAAATTTGTGTCTTTTTTTAAAAAGTGCTATAACTTTGGTTCTAATTAACCGATTTTGGATTTTAAAAAAAGGATTTCTTTGGTTTTAAGTATATTTTAATTTAAAATTAATAAGTAAAGGTCCCAGTTATGAAACGCTTTCATAATTTTGTCCCTATTATGGAACAATATTACAAAAATTAAAATAAATGCAATTAAAATTGCTGTTAAGAAAATTCTAGTTATTTCAATAAATTTTACAAGATATAAGAATTATTATTTCTGTATAGTATTTAATTTATAAAGAAATGTTTTACATATAAAATGATGATTTATAATTAATTTCTTCAAAAAGTTCCATGGTCCCAGTCTGATTTTTACATGGCTCATAGTAAAAAAGGTAAGCTTTCGATTGGGATAGGTTAGAAAAAAATAAAAAACACCAATTTTGCGATACAGTAGAACCCGGTTAATACGATTCTGTAGGTACCGCACTAAGAATGCGTCTTATGCGAGAAAACGTATTAGGCGGGATATAAAATGTATGTATTTAATCGCAGGGTCCACCATAAATGAGCGTCTTAAGCGGAAAATCGTATTAAATGGAATCGTATTAACCGGGTTCTACTGTATATTGAAATTAGGAATTTGACCTTGAATTTCAAGGTTAAATTAAAAGAAAACAACTTTTTTTTCATCACCAGCTTATAGCCTGTGAAAACTTCTTAAAAAATCACTATTCATACTTTAAATTTGATTAATTTTACTTATCAATATATTAAATCGAAAAAAAGATATTTTAAAAAATATCAAAATTTTGAAACTCCATAACTCAAAAATATTTTATCAAATTAAAAAAAAACATTTCTACTAATAATATTTAAATTTTAGCAAAGTTTAGAAAAAATTCATTTTTTAACCTGGGCAGTTGAGGAATTTTCCCTCATATGTACGTAATATGTGGTTACGTTTTATTTTTTTACTCTGAATCCCTTTGAGATCCCAAGATAAAACTTACAGGACATGTAAAGCACATTTGTCCTAACATTTAGTAAAATTTTGAAAAAAATCGAAAATGATGTTTTTTCAAAAACGGATTTTTAATTTTTCAAAATTTCAACAAAAAAAATTTTCAATTTTTTTTTATAAGTATTAATTTTAAACTACGTGCCGGAAATTTTTGGACATAGTCTGTTTTAGTAAAACTAACTTATATATTAAATAAGAAAAAATTTCACTTAGTCATTTCTAAGAAAATTGAAGTGGTTCACTGTTGACGCTGCGTCAATGCAGCCTACTCTCCCCTATGTTTACACTTCTACTAATAATAGTAACATTTTAGCATAGTTTCGAAAAAATTCATTTTCTAACCTGGGCAGTTGAGGAATTTTGCCCCAAATAAGTGTTTACAATAACATTTGCAAAAGTAGTAAATAAACTTAATACTTTATATTATCGCAAGTGCATTTCTGAAATGAAGATTTACCTTATGAAATTCTGGCTGCACTGTTACTTGAGTAACACCCATTTCAGCAAAGAATGAAATTACTTCGTCTGTGATATTTCTGTATACCTGTAAGATAAAATTTTGTAAAATTTCAGCTATTAGGATATAAAATATTTTCTTACTTGAATATTCCATAAACGAGTTTAGATAAAATGAGATTTCCACAATCTTATAACTGATAAATTGTAAGTATATTTGATTAACATTGCTTGTTATTTCTTTGTATTCAGATGATAATTTTTAAAATTAATGAAAAATAATATTAGTTTATAATTAAGAATGTATTAGGGGAGCGTGGGGTAATAGGAGCTTTTAAATTTCACGTACTTAGAAACCTTAAAATTCGCTGCAATGTCTAGAAAATAATCTACAATCTTTCTTTATATCATTCCAAACCGAACGATCACATTCTTGACAGATTTTTAGAAAAACAAGGGAAAATGTATTTTTTGAGTTTTCGTTGTGAAATGCAAAACATTTCTAAACATCACCATAAGTAGTTAAAATCGTATTATTTAGTTATGGTTTTTCATTATATTATAGGTGAATATGTGTAGATATGTGTATAAAAATCGAGATAATAATGAAATTTGTTCATGTTTTTATTTTTTTATTCAAATTTTGTCCTGTAAGAATTCTGTGGGGTAATGGGAGAATTAGTGTCAGCCCAAAGAATTTTCGTTACCATGTTACGGCTTTTGTTATTTCTTTGAAAATTGTAAAAGATATCACCTTATGAAAAAACTTTTAATTAAAAAATAATTTTTGGTGGAAAAAATGTTAAAATTTAAATTTTTTTCAAAAATTTTTTATTCAAATATAATTTAGGAAAAAATTTATTCTAAGTCTAAAGTTAGAACTTTAAAAAGTGCAAAGGACTTTTCGTCTTAATTTTTTCAGTAGAATATGACCCATTAGTTTGTACACCCACGACTGGGACACCCTATATATCAAAATTAAGTATTGAAAATGTAAAATGGTTATTTAGAGATTCGATTTAAGCAAAAATTGCAATTAATAAAGCTCTAAATAATAAATAATTACTTGAAATTCCTGACAGATTAGATAAACATAAATGTACCCAGGTAGTTACACTTTAAATAGCGGCAAAAATTTCATCAAAAAAACTAAAAATGTTAGAAAAAGCACTTATAATTAATAAATAAACTATTCTATAAAATGATAGAATTTATTAGAAGCTTAGAATTTATTGCTTTGGGGTTTTCGGGGTCGTTGCTTACAAATATGATGTCGAAATAAAAAATCTGTAGTTGGATTCATAATCAACGACCCAAAAAACCCCCGAGTAACAAGTTTCAAGTGAATTTGATCAATTTTGGAAAATAAGTCCGCCATATTGGATCCGACACTTTGAATTTTAATAATCTGACAACATATTCGTAATCAGCGACCCCAAAAACCCCTGAGTAACAAATTTTAAGCGAATTCAACAATTTTTCAAATAGTTTTATTTACGGACAGTGTCAGTCAATTTTTATACTTGACAACTGTTAAAAAATTCATTTTTGAAGGCTAATTTAGTTTGTTGTTAGCAATATCGCTATATCTTCTTAAAGTACAGGGTTCAGGCATTAATTTGACTTCTATGACAAGTCTCTAGCACGTCGGATTTACCTTGTAGAGATTTACAAAAACAGCGAAAAACATGATTTTTGGGAATTTACCCCCCAATTTTCTTAAAATCCTGACGTGATAGGAGGTTTTCGATGCCAGATTCGGATTCAGCGCACCAAATACTGCGGGAAATGACTTCTCGATCTCAGACAACGGAAATTTTTATTTTTTTGCAGGCTTGTGAATGATAAATATGCGGGCTGTGAGACCTGTCAATGTAACATGCGTGATATTTGTAGCAGACTACGATCATATTCTGAACGGCGGAACGAAAGGAACTGATTTGGATAAACGCGCGAAGTTTCAAAATGATTTTAATTGTCACCAGGTAAAAAACGATAGGCAGACATGATAAGAAATTTTCTGTTTTCGTTTATTCTCTTCTCAACCCTGTAAAAAAAAAAGTATTGGGAGGTACGGGATTCCGTATTGCAAGTGCCAACCTGCCAATGCGGTATTCGCGAAATACCGCATTGGGTGTCGTGGTGAATACGGAAATCAAGGGGTCCCAATGCGGTGCCAGTTTTAAGCTTTAAAAAAACGAAAATACGTGACAGGAGGAAATAATTAGTGTCAGTGGAGAAATATGCGAGTTAAAGGAATGAGAAAATAATAATAGTGAGTGTAAAAATGAAATTTTAAGAAAAAAAGGTAAGTTGAACTGTCAAATATGGGCCCAATGCGGCATAGGCTGATTTCAATGCGCCACAGCAAAAGCAACTTTGACTGGTTTGAATGGCGTGAAATAGGTAAACAAACATTTTCTAACACATTTGTCTCCGTACACAGACACTTTTCACTAAATCTGCCAACGTACAATTGGTAAGCATCTTCTAAATTACAATAATCGAAAATATTGTTTAGATTCATGCAGAAACGTGGTTATAAAATAAAAAATTGGAAAGTAATGTAATGCAAATCATATGTCAGCTGGGCCACTGTGTTCGCTCGATTCGCTCTGCTTGCTTCTGCCCTCTACTGGCGACTTGCACTATTTACCGATTGTGTACCGCATTGAAAGCAGCCTACGCCGCATTGGACTCATATTTGACAGTTCAACTTACCTTTTTTTCTTAAAATTTCATTTTTACACTCACTATTATTATTTTCTCATTCCTTTAACTCGCATATTTCTGCACTGACACTAATTATTTCCTCCTGTCACGTATTTTCGTTTTTTTAAAGCTTAAAACTTGCACCGCATTGGGACCCCTTGATTTCCGTATTCACCACGACACCCAATGCGGTATTTCGCGAATACCGCATTGGCAGGTTGGCACTTGCAATACGGAATCCCGTACCTCCCAATACTTTTTTTTTTACAGGGAAATAAATTCTTACAAGTTTAAAAAGTTAAAATATTTCAAATTACAATAATGAATGTTTCAACATGACTTAAAAATATTTGTAATGAGTTCTGCCATAAATTATATACTTTTGAAGACCAAAAAACATATGAACATTGCAGAACACCACTGACATTTTTGAAAGATTTCACTGATAATTTTTTTTGAATAGTGAGAATAAAATCAGCTTATAAATTACAATCGAGTATTAAATTTTTATTAACTGCATAAAAGGAGTAAATTTAACATAAATTTATTGGAAATAAAATAGTAAGATGCAATAAACAGAATTTTGAGGGGACACCACTGACATTTTGCTTCATTTCTCAATTTCGAAAAAGAAAGACTTTATTTTTAAGTTATAGTCGTTGCTGTTTTTAATGTACGTTTAATAACTGAAAATAAGATACAATAATATTTAAAAAATATTAATATTATGAACAATTTTTTGATGGGGACACCACTGACATGGTGTGCTCGACAAAGTGATACTTGCTTTCTGCCACCAACCGTACAAGTTATAGATGTGATAGAATGTTGTATAATGTTTTTTCTTTAAGAAGCTATACATGGGTGATAAAATTTAAAATGTCATTTTCAACATCTACAAACGTTGACTTGGCGATGTTGAAATTTCTGGTTAAATTATTTTTTTTTGGTTGACTAGCATGTATAATCCATGAAATTAATAGTGATCAAGCACATAATAACAAATATTTTCATAAACAGACAGATTTTTGGAGAAAAAACATATATTTTTACGAGACACTTTTTCAGTATGTTTTTAGTAGAGCAAACTGAAAATACAATCAGATTTTCTAATAAATCATTGTATTAAAAGCTAATAGTCAAATACGAATTATAAAATAATTTATATTAATTTTCACCGTGAATTATGTAGAAGAAAAGACGTAAGAAAACAAGAAGACAAGAAGAAGACGTAAGCAAGTTAGGGAACACCAGTGACACGATTAAAGATGTCATTGAAATTTATTTTTAAATAATAAAAAAGACATGAACATATGAGTAAAAATATAGTTTAAAACTGGAATAATTGAACGTTATAAATAGAAAATATAGGTGGATTCATAATTTATAGAAAAAATGTAGAAAACTTAATATTGACAGAAAAAATAAAAATATGTTGTTAAATTTTGTAATTTCAAAAAACGACTCTAAAATTATTTATTATTATTTATTTTTATTTCAAAATTTTGAGCAAATTTGTCAATTCTACCTTCGGATTCCGATTCAGGGGTGAAAAATACATAGTGATTAAATTTAAAATGCCATTCCGCCGTCCTGCCGAGAAAACTCGAGTCCGAACCCATATACCAAATATACAAGTACAAATATATATGTTCATTCATTCCATATATAATTCACTTTGTTCAAATTCCAATTCTTAGCCACCAGAAGCACTCAGAAAAAATCCGGCAGCAAAATTGCAGGCAAAACGTCACCGCTGTCCCGCGTCCGCGAACATGAAACTATATCCCGTCTACCAAGAAAAAAGGTCACTCTTCATGTTTCCGACTACCGAAAAAACCATTTCGCAAAATAGAACCTCCATATTTAAAGAAAAACCACCAGTCGAATACAAATAAACAATATAGTGGTTGAAAAAAATCAAAAGCGTGTGTCCGCAAATTTCACATTTCTAAGAGAAAATGACAAAATCCGAATCTCGCGCCTAATATTCAACTGTGCAAGAGTACGAAACCGCCTTAACGACTGCTAATAGAAAGCACTATGTGTCTAGAAGCCTAGAGAAAAAACTACAACGCTCCAACCCATCTACAAAACACACGACGCATGGCAGACCGGCAGACCGAACCCACCGAGCACAAACGTCACTGGCGTCCCCGCGACAAAACGGTACTTAACATCAGTATTCCTTCAAATACCCCATTATAGTCTCACTTATTACTAAAACTTCCAGAATCGCACACATCCGAAGTCAGCTAAATACAATCACTCTTTTTTAAAATGAAAATTGAGGCAGAATGTCACTTGAAAAATACATAGTGTTTAGAACAAAAAACTTTTTTTTGTGTGCCTGTATATTTTAGGGGACATCAGTGA